CGTGGTTGATCCTGTTCACTTACGATCTATAACACTCAACGGGCTAGAGGTTAGCAACCGCCTCGTATTGGAATCGTAGCCGATCCTGTTAACTTACAAGCTACAACGCTCAGCGGACTGGAAGTCAGTAGTTGTCTCGTCCTAGAATCGTGGTTGATCTTGTTCACTTACAAACTATAACACTCAGCGAGCTAGGTCAGCAATTGCCTGGTCCTGGGATCATGGTTGACCCTGTTCACTTACCTCCTACGATACTCAGTGAGCAAGAAATTAGCAATGCCTCGTCCTAGAGCCGTGGCTGATCCTATTTACTTACAAACTACAACACTCAGCGGGCCAAGTCAGCAATTACCTCGTCCCAGTACGGTGGTTGGTCCTGTTCACTTACCCCCTACAACACTCAACGAGCTAGAGGTCAGAAATTGCCTCGTTCCAGAACTGTAATAGATCCTGTTCACTTACCACCTACGACACTCAGCCAGCCAGAGATCAGCATTTCCTTGCCTCAGAATCGTGGTTAATCGTGTTCGCTTACCTCCTACAACACTCAGCGAGTCAGAAGTTAGCAATTGCCTCGTCCCAGAGTCGTGGTTAATCCCGCTCACTTACCCGCTATAGCGCTCAGCGAGTCCGAGGTCAGCAATTGCCTCATCCAAGAAGCGTGGTTGATCCTGTTCACTCACAAGCTACAACGCTCAGCAAGCCAGAGGTCAGCAATTGCCTGGTCCCAGGATCATGGTTGGCCCTTTTCACTTACTTCCTACAGCGCTCATCCAATCAGGGGTCAGCAATTTCTCGCCCCGGAACCGTGGTTGATCCTGTTCACTTACCCGCTGCAACACCAAGCGAGCCAGAGATCAGAAATTGCCTCGTCCCAGATTCACGGTTTGTCCTGTTCACTTACTCGCTACAGAGCTCAACGAGCCAGAGGTCAGAAATCGCCTCGCCCCAGAACCGTGGCTGATCCTATTCACTTACAAGCTACAGCGCTCAGCCAGCCAGAGGTTAGTAATTGCCTCGTGCCAGAGCCGGGTTGATCCTGTTCACTTACCCCCTACAACGCTCAGCCAGCCAGAGGTCAGCAACTGCCTCGCCCCAGAACTATGGTTGATCATTTTCACTTACAAACTTCAACACTCAGCCAGCCAGAGGTTAGCGATTTTCTCGTCCTAGAGCTGCGGTAGATCTCGTTCACCCACCTCCTGTAGCCCCCAGCGAGCTAGAGATTAGTAATTGCCTCGTAGCTTTAATTTGCTTGACCCAATTACGTACAAGCTATAGAACTCCCCAGCTCGGCAATTAGCTGTCACCTTTGACATCTGAGTTATTTACGGAGACCCCTACCTCCTGTATCTCCCCGCAAATCAGCAAACCTTATTCTCTCGCTGGTAATGGAATCGCTAACTTACACTCTACGCTCATGGGTCACTCCGGGGTTAGCCATGATGGTTGCCAAACATTCCTAATGCACTTCACCTACTTTCTATCGTTCCCACGACTCTGGTGTCAGCAACACAACAACGCACAGGGGACATGATCCAGGGCTTCTACTTGCCTTCTGTAAGGAAGAACAAGTTCTGAATCAGCTCTAGCTCATTCTGGTTACTGCGAATTCACATACCGTCTGTAAAGTAATGTTATTTTCTTGTTAGCTATGCACCAGTCACTTCAAACCGAGAGGCTTCTTCACATGCAAGATGGTATACTCCTTCCCACCGAGATGGGCTTTAACATTCCGCTGAAGTAGCCTTCTAGTTACATCCTCGTCCTCCTGGACTGCTGCTATGTTCAATGCTGTGCCATGTATTTCGGATCGAGCATTGATATCTTCACCCTCTTCTTCCAATAGTCGATCAACTACCGTCCCCTGCCCAAGCAATGATGCTATCATCAAATGTGTGAAATCTTTGGGGAATATATACGGCTGTCGGGTATTGAACCAGTATATCTGGAACCATGTCAGACAATGATTAGCTCTATCTCCACAAATCAGTCGTGTAAACTCGAATAACTCCATCCGCCGATACTGCGAATCTCTAAAGTGGTCTGCCCAGTGTCGGGCTGCGTAATCGAGAAAGGCGTATTTCTGGAGATAGTCATTAACCGCCTTCTCTGAAACCCTGCCGGAAGTGTCTATCGCTAATGGGCTGCCCGCAAACTCCTCTATCGAAAGATAGGAAATACAAATGTCAGTAATTATAAAGTTACAATCCCTGAGGCATAGTGTATACTGCCAATTTCCCTGGCCAGATAAGGATCCCTTAATCAGGAACTCCCTCGCGGTTTGGTGGACCAAGTATATCTTAGAATCAATAACTCGCACGAAAAGCCCGCAAAGGTTTTTCACTGTCCTTTCGAATCCACTAGAGAGATCCGCGAGGTCCTCCATTGAGCTGTGCTCCCGTCTGACTCTGAGTGCGATGTTCATTTCTCGAAGTGTGAGAGGCCTTGCAGCTGCTACCACTATATGCAAGATTTGTCGGGCTTTTTCGGGATTTGCGACTTTATCAAGAATCTTGGTGTATAGCTCTGCTAGATCACGCGGCGCAGTAGAGACAATGCTAGTAAACTCCTCCACCGAGCCAACCTCACTTTCCTTCAATATCTCGAGAACAAGGGAAACCCAGAGGAATGTCCGATCGGCCGAAGATTCTAGGAGATTTCGCAAATATTGTAGCCCCCCAGGCCGTTCCCAGTATTTCTCCAGGTCGTTAATGCCCTCATCTATGACGCGAGTAACGTCGGCAGTAATAGCATTGACCTCGTCCTCCCCTCTCAACCGGATCGTCGTTACGGATGAGCCAAGGTTTCTCTCGATCCGGTGGTAAGGACGACTTGTAACCAGTAACTTCAAAGGCACATCGGAAGTCTGTGATCCAGGCAGACGGGTGATACGATGGATAAGTTGGGCCAGGGTCTCTTCTTCGCACTCGTCCAAGGCATCTATCACACAAATCACATCGCCGCACCCCCCCTCAGCTACCGCGTGCACCAAAATATCCCACAATGTGTCCACCTTCCCCGTAAACGCCTTGCCCTTGTCCTTGAACGCTTCCTCGGCATATCTACAGAGGGATCTTCTCTGCGAGAAAAGCTGATGAAGTATGGCGCAAAGGGCGAATGTCGCGTTCCTCTGTTCCTCGCTGTCGTCCTTAAAAAAGAAGTAGCAAACGATGGCGTCCGTTCGCGCTTTTAGATGGGTTACGAGGAATGAGGCGACGACAGATTTTCCGCAACCCGGGTCCGCCGATAGCCAGAGAAGACCCGCCGCTTTTTTCCCCACCCACTCCCTATACTTTTGATGTTCCGTAACCCAGGTGCATGTTCCCTCTACCGGTTCGCGAACCCGGCGTCGATGCGACTCGTAGTCAGACGTGTATAAACATTGGAAAATTTCGGCATGGTTATCGGACGGGCTCGTGCCGCCGTAGTAACTGTAGATGGTGTTCCCGAAGTTGATTTGATTACTAGAACCGCTATTGCCGCTAAAGTCATTGAGAATATTACTGTTCGCCAACAGAGCCAAAACCACAGCAACTAGTATCAGTGGACAGAAGCGCAATCAAACACAAGCGACACTCCAGGAGCCCACCTTTGAGTTGAGGGTTGGCCCTCAGAGGAATTGCTTAGCGAATCGCCCATTATATCGATTGACTGCTAAACCGCAAGTAGTTGTGTTTTGCCGACGTAGGAACCGAATGTGCGCTCGTTGGTGCTCGTATTGACAATTTTCAAACAGAGAAGAATGGAAGAATTAGAAAGGTTGGGGAACCGGAAGACTACACTTCTCTTGAAATGGTCGGCGTGAAATGGTGGATAGTAATGTACTTGTACAGTACAGTACAGTACGGTACCGTCTGCCGTACCGGTAGTTCAGCTAACCCCGCATAGGCTGGTCATCCATGCCATCCCAGCAGCTTGCTATCGCACCCCTAACATTTTACCGGGAGGGCAGATACGGTAGACTACCGTACCGCACATCCTCCTACCCCGCTCCAGATAAATTCACCCACCCTGCCACACCCTAGCACCCATGCAAGAGATAATTTTCAGCTTCGTGCACAGCTAAACCGGGCTGCAGTTGCTTTCCGGCCACTTTGGGTTGCTCGTACTGTACTTGTAATTTAATGGCGGATTGAGGTTGTGAGCACGCATAATCTATCCGACCGCCATAAGGGAGGTTTTGTCAGGTCAGTTCTCTATTAAATTATGCTTACGGCAATTTTAAGCAAAGTGGGTATTACTCGCTCCCCGTAAGAAGTACCCGAAAACAAGGGGGGGTAAAAGGCTGTTTGTACAGGGTCTGTGTACAGTACTTAGATCCATGTCACATTTTCTCACATTTGGTGTTGTTCAACCAGGCATGATTGGTCTATTGTGAATATGCAAGAATATGCGGACCCGGCCGTGTTTGCAAACCTCAGAAAATTACGAGTATCATACCTCCCTTATCCATACCAGAGCGATTCCAAGCACAGCCGGTAGTGATGGCAACTTACCACCACCACCACCAGAGTGCTCACGGGGTCCACTTGTTCCACATCCAAGTGCTAAATTAACTTACGATGAAACCTCACCACCTCCAAGCATGCACTCCCCCCCAACCCCAACCCCAACCCACGGTAACGCGCCGGGGGAAAAAAAATCTTCTTCTTCCATGAAGAGGACTTATCATAGCTAGCCTAGAGAGGGTATATAAACGCGAGGTTGGTCTTTTACACGCGAGTTGCATGTATCATAATCGATGGACATCTTTGGTGGCTTTGCCCGCACGCAATCTGATTTTCCCACTCTGTGAGATGTGCTACGATGCCAAGGGTTCGGTTCCGTGTGGTCAAGATTTCCGGTGTCATGTGTGATCACTCGTATCCACGGGAATCTCAATCATAGCCCTGCCTTACGCTCATTGTGGTGGTCCACCGGTACTCGCCTCTCGTATTGACGTCAACACCAGTGTTTGCGCCGTGTAATCCATCTTTCGAGACCCGTGTGCCATCTTGAAAACTTAAAACGATTGGACGGCATGCTATGTACTGTACAGGATCATAGTCAAAAACTTCCCTTCTCTGAAAATGAACGAGAAAACACAACAAAAGAACAGCTCCTTTCCCCCTTCCAAAAAATAAAGACCAAAATTTCTTGACCCTACGGGGGGGGCGCGGACGCTTGGCGACATGGAACACCGTCCAATTACTATCATATGATTGACACAAGCTTCTACAGCACTGCACCTCACTACCGAGATAGCCGGGCGAGTGAGATCCTATGATGAAATCAATGTTGAACCTTGGGTCTCTGTGCACATAAAATCACAATCGTGCCGCTTATACAGTACAGGTAACTTGGAAAGAGACTGGCTCCCTAAAGCTTTCTCTCCCCACCTACATCGTAACAGCACTAGGACCAGCGACGAACGAGTACTAAATTCATGAGCTTTGGAAACTTCAACTCCTTTAGGCTTTTGTTCTCGTCGAGCGCGGAGAACTTCCGATCAGGCGGCTGCATGAAGGTGTACGCTTCCGCCCCATCCGTCCGATTCTACACATCGTGAGCAATCAATCCCGGTCCGCCTCACAACCGCTACAGATGATAAAGAGAAGCATACCTCATCAACCCAATGCCTAAGTTCTGCTAAGCCCTTCCCCTCCAAAAACCTCGCCTTTATCAGCCTACCATTCAACAGCCTAACACTAACCAAAACCTCATTAAATGCAACCTTATCCTCCTCCGTTCGATCGATCGCTTGCACTGGGGTACCAAAAACCGCGGCCCGGCCCTGCCGCTTCCTCAGCTCACGCACCTCCCGCTCAATGCGATCGTGTTGGAGGGCTAACAGGATGCGCTCCTTCTCGGCCTTCTCTTCTGCTATGCGGCGCGTCTGCTCCTCGACGTACTTTTTGCGGTCGGGAGTTAAATTGTTTTGTCGGCGTTTGACTTCCGCCGCTTTTTTCTCGCGGGCTGCGGCAGTGAGGGCCTTTTGCTGCTGCTCTAGGCGGACTCGGCGGTCGGCAAAGAGGGATGACAAGGTGTTTTGGGATGAGCCTTGAGTTGAAACTGAGGTTGAAGGGGGCGAGGGAGGGGGTGGAGAGGCAGTAGGAGAGAGGGCAGATTTTAAGGATTGTGTAAAGGCACTGTCTGGAGTGTCGGAGGTGAGTTTTGTTACTAGGGAGACATTCCTTTTTTGCTCGTCAGCCCAATACCATCTGGGAAGGAAGGCGAGGGGGGGGGGGTACTTACTTTACAACAACCAAATATGGAGCTTGCTCCACAGGGCAGAACATGGCAAGGAATCCAGCCTCCGCCGATCCAGCCTTCAGTTTGAAAACGATGCTACTATATTTGAGCAATGGAAATATCTCTCCGTCCAGTAGATTCTCGTTTTCCCACTTCATGCTTCTCCAGCAGTTCTCGCCTGGTGAATATTAGTTCCCGACAGCTCTCCTCTGTGATTGGGACTGGATCCAACAAACCCGCAACGAAAAACACCAAAGACTTATTGTCCCTCGCGGCGCTCGCAGAACCCTCCTGGATACTCTCTTTGCAATAGACGTCCTCCATTATGCCGATTTTTATTTTCTTCACAGACCCTTGTTCGAGAGGTTTGGGTGGTGTGGTTGAGGAGGGGACGAAGGGGGTTAAGAGGGGTGGGGGATTAGGCTTTGGGCAACTTGACAAACGCCTAACCTTATGGTAAAATAGGGTTTGGGGTTAAGAAGGAGGCTCTGCGGATCCAGCCTGGTATCGTATTGATATTCCGATCCACAAAACCCTTGTTAACAATCAGGTTCAAGGCCAGTCAGACCCTTCCAGCGGGGCCAAGTGTGTTGAATCCAGACCTGTTGGGGCGAGAAATGTCGGTATTCGGGGGAAATGGAATCGTAAAGAATATCCGTTCAAACTATTCTTGCAGCCAATACCAAAGCACAAAGAAAAAGGAAAAAGGAAAAGAAACTCCAGATGCCGACAAAGACAGGGCTTGCCTTCAATTGCACAATCTGAGCACCTGGAGTACTAAATACCCATACGGTATAACCTCAGGGGGTGACTAGGGTGGGGCAGTGCTTCAGTAACTAAAATTTAAATAAACAGATTTCGACACTCCTATTACACTGCCAGAGCCAGAGAACCAATCATGGTATTTCAGTATTCGTAGTTTGAGCTGTATAGATAGAGACTGCGCTAATCTTTAGTGAGTGAGAGTCATGAATATGAATACCTGTAAGGACTGAGGACTTAATACTGAGCTAGACAAACTTAGTCCTCTTTTTATTTTTATTATTATTATTATTAAATTTTTTAACAATGAATATTATTAGGCCCCCCCCCCAATAAAACCGCAAGTCCTAACCCTAAACAAATACAGTGCCAAGAAGCTCGCAGTTTCTTACCTTTATTCCATTTGTTTCCCAACTCGGATTGCTCTAATCAGTTCTCTAACCTATCCTAACTATCATATCTTACTCACGCATGCAGTCTGCCTGTACTGTACGAGGGGGGGGAAGAAAGTAATGCGACACCTGTGCAACACAAATTCCCCTACAGAAACAATATCAACAATATATAGTACTACCATTTTCCACAACCACATTCAATAAATAAAATAAGTAAAGGAGATAAAATTAAAAAATGCTTAGTATTTCCTTAAAGTAAAATAAAAAGAAAATCATAAATCAATAATGAGTTTGGTGCCCTTTTCTTCTAATAACCTCTCTGACCTGCTTTGGCATACTTCTGCAAAGATCCATAAACCTTCTATCAGGAATAGCTTTCCATGCTTCCTCCACAGCTCTGATTACCTCTTCCTTGCTTGCAACTCTTCCATACCTTTTCCCCAAGTGAGTTTCCATATCTCCCCAAATATTTTCAATTAAGTTCAGGTCTGGTGACTGTGGTGGCCAGAGCAATATATCCACTCCATTCCTTTTTCTATACTTTGTAGAATATCTGTGATTAAACCAGTAGTTAGATTATATTCTTAAGTAAGTATTTATATATCAAAAAACAGAAAATACAATAATTATAAGGAGGTAGAACCTACCCTTTATGCCCTGGTGCACTATCTTCAACAACCCTAGTCCAACCAAATCTCTTACAACACTCATGCCAGAAAGGAATTAAAACTGGATCCAGAATATACTTAGTATACTCATAAGAATCCACTTTAACCTTTCCTGGTACTACCACTAGCTTTGACCTCAAATTCCCACAAAAGGCTCCCCATACCATAACTGTCTCCCTTCCTGACTCCCAGACCTCATCAATGTAATCTTGATCATATTCCTCAGAAGGTTCTCTTATCACCCATCCTCTCTACCCAAATCCAGCTGTAGAGAATGAGGTTTCATCAGTCCATATGATTCTGGACCAGTCTCTTAGTTTCCAAGCTCTTTTTCTCATACACCAACCAAATCTAATTGGTATATTTTTAGGACACAATCCCTATCTAAAATATCTTTTAGTTATGTAAACACTTGAATCTTCATTAAAGTACTTACTTCTTGCGTGGTTTTCTTTTATTTAAATTAAGACTCTTAGCTGCCTTCCCAATTGTCCTGGATAATGCCTTTAATCCCTTCTCTTCTTTAATATCCTCTCAAGAGAGTCTTCTATTTCTTTTATTTTCTTTAATAAAAGACTTTAGATGAAGTAGATCAGACTCCTAGAAGATTGGAGGTCTTCCTGTTCGCTGGTAGTTGGAAGGACTACCTGTTTCCCAATACTGTTGATAGATGCAAGTACAGGTACTATGGTGAACTTTAAGGCCTATTTTTTCCTCCAATTCGGCAGCTATCTTTCTGAAAGACCACTCCACTATTTCTTGGAGAGCAATAATACGGATCCGGTCATCACGCGTGGTTTCCCGCTCGAAGCGCTGTCGCTTCTTTGTCAACGATGGCCGCCGCTCAAGATTTAGTGGACTAATCACTAAATCATTTAATTTTATTATTATTTCAACTTTATGTACATATTCATTTAATTAAACTACTTACGCTCACTTCTGCGGGTTCTCTTTACCCTTATAGTGCTTTTCTGAAATGGTTTGGCAGATGGTGGGGGATATAGTGAGTATTGTAGTGATGGGGGTTGGGAGTAGAGTTGCGATCTTGTGGGAAGCGGTTGCTACTGTGTCGCACTACTTCTTTCCCCCCCCTCGTACAGTACCGTACAGTACCATACCATGCTATGATACATCATACTATTACTTTCCCCCAACTCCCCCCAGAGCTCCACTAAACACAGCGAAACTCGCACCAGTTGCGTGAGCCAAGCCCCGCCCGAAAATCTCCTGGATACGACAGGAGGGCTTTCATCAACTTTTTCGGGCCTTGCAGGGGCCCCAGTACTCATAAGACGTCACTCGTGAAATTGCCCAATGATTTTGGAGAAACGAGTTTTAGGCGGTGTTTGGCACGCCGTTGTTTGAAATAATCTTGATTTCAAAAACATGTTTTGGGCCAAATCATGTGTTGCAATAACAAGTGGGGTGTGTTTGGCACAGCATTGTTTGTACGTTTGAACATATGTGTTGGAATAATATCACAATTTACTACAATGATTACTATGAGGTTTACAAAATATTATTTTAAAAACACATGTAGAAACAATAATACTGTTTGGCACACTCATGTGTTCAAACAATACTTACTGGTTGTTTGTACTGTACACATGTGTAGAAAACATGTTCTGAAATCAAGATTATTTCAAACAACGGCGTGCCAAACACCCCCTTAATGAATAAGAGATCCGCTTGATCTCTTGCATTCCGTCCACCAAATTCTATCCAACATTCCATTCCACTACTCCATTACACACTGGACATCCCATTCCATCCACCCTATTTCATTCTAGACAGTCACATACGGTTATCGGGATGCCTCACCTAATCCCCGCCACATCACAACAGATTGTTCTGCGGGAGCCGGAATTAAGGCCTCTAGACTTGTGGGGTGGGATTAACAGTGGGACTTCAGAGCGATGGCAGAAACTACAGGCACAAAAGCCATCTCGTATTCGCCTTTACACGGGGAGGGGGGGCCAAGTTAGTGGGGCTACATTACCTGCATAATCTTGATTGATCGGTTCCTACTTCATCCAGGAGTGCTAGGATTGGGAGGCACCTGGTGCGCGGTGACTTTTTATTTGAGAACGCGCATTGAGTGATTTCGGACCCCATTTTTCTGTAAAGTCTGAAATCACGGCGTATTAATTCATGTTTTTAAATCGAGGCCTACAGCTAAACGGTAAGGCACAAGCGGCGCAGAGTGATGGCTTTGGTTGTGACCTGTCGCCTCAACCCCGACTACTTGTACGAGTACCGGTAGACTAGCATTCTTGCATCTTCATTTGATTTCCACTATGGCAATTATGGTACCATTTTTGTGATAACCTGAACATGCTTGCTTGTTTGGGAGTTTTTTCTTCTTCTCACTACCCTGATCAGATCGTGAAGGCCTAAACAAACTCCTTTCCAGATCGCGCCGCCGTTTTGAATCAAGATTTACTTACTATCGTACTGGCGCCAAACACCCGCCCGTATTTTCTCTCCCCCCCAAAATACCGATAGGACTAAGGTAAATCTCAAAAAGGAAACTATCAAGCCCCTTGGTCTGTGTCTGTGCCTTGAATCAAAACAGATCCTCCGGGTACTGTACAGTACACCGGCTGACACATATCATTTTCACCAAAATCGTTGGATCCTACATATGCTTCAAGTTTGGGTTCCATGCAGTATCTTGGTGGAAAAAAACTAAGCAGAAGGGGAAGAAGGTACGAGAAGCAACTAAATCACAAGCGCGCCGCAAGCGCCACAGCCTTAACTTTAATCAAACCGATCAAGTCTCAATCAAGTTCTCTTCTTGCGGCGGTTGCTTGGGAGCATCCTCCCGGGAATTATCCCTAGTATCCTTGCCCCCCTCCCTCGCCTTGCCCTTGCCTTTCCTATCACTTGTGCTTCGCTGGTAGTATTCGTTAATGATCTTGGCGGGGATTCTATTAAGGAGTTCTTTGGGGTAAATTCGTAGTAAACTCCAAGCAAGGTCCAGACTCTCAAAGATGGTTCTGGACTCATAAGCGCCTTGCGCGATAAAACTTCTTTCAAACTTCTCCAAAAATTCCAAGGAAAGCTTGTCTTCGGCTGAAAGAGCTTCCTCTCCGACGACAGCCTTCATTGCCGCCGCATCACGCCCGATAGCATATTTGGCGTACAGTTGGTTGGAAACGTCACCATGGTCCTCACGAGTCATACCCTCACCAATGGCGGATTTCATGAGACGCGATAGGGAGGGGAGAACGTTGATAGGAGGGTATATACCACGATTGTGGAGCTGTCGGTCGACGAAGATCTGGCCTTCAGTAATGTATCCAGTTAGATCAGGAATTGGGTGAGTAATATCTAGCGATGATCAGCAGTCGTTCTGGAGAAGGAAATGGGGGGTATTCTAACCATCGTTAGGCATAGTAAGGATAGGAATTTGGGTAATTGATCCATTTCTTCCTTCCACACGCCCAGCTCGCTCATAGATGGTAGACAAATCCGTGTACATGTAACCTGGGTATCCACGACGACCTGGCACTTCCTCGCGGGCTGCAGAAACCTCACGGAGGGCATCACAATAAGCTGAAAGATCTGTGAGAATCACCAAGACGTGCTTCTCCAATTGGTATGCAAAGTATTCCGCCGTAGTCAAGGCCAACCTGGGGGTGATGATACGCTCAATCCTGTTGGAATGTTAGTGTTACTCCTGTTAATTCTCTGCACTGGGTAGCATACGTTGGATCATTCGCCAAGTTCAAGAAAAGTGTGACCCTCTCTAATGAGCCGTTCTCCTCGAAATCACGGGTGAAGAACCGACTGGTTTCCAAGTTGACACCCATGGCGGCAAAGACAATCGAGAAATTCTCTTCGTGATCGTCATGAATACCCTTGCTAGGTCCTTTCACCAAACCGGCTTGACGGCAAATCTGCGCAGCAATTTCGTTGTGGGGAAGGCCAGCGGCTGAGAAGATGGGGATTTTTTGACCACGGGCTGAGGGCAGATGTTAGCTTTATCATCCTCAGGCACCCATGCCCTGAAAACGATTGACTTGCCAACAGAGTTCATAGTATCAATAGCACTGATTCCGGTGGAAATCATTTCTTCGGGGTACACGCGTGAGTAGGGGTTGATAGGGGACCCGTTGATGTCCAAATAATCCTCTGCAAAAACCTTAGGCCCTTTATCAATAGCCCTACCGGATCCATCGAAGATACGGCCCAACATATCTTCCGACACTGGAATTTTAAGATTTTGGCCGGTGAACTCTACAGTCGTCTTACGAACGTCGATGCCCGGAGTGCCCTCGAAAACCTATTGAGGTAGTTTATTAGCAAATTACGTCAATCGCGTCTTATATCTTGCGGAATCCAAACCTGAACAATGGCTCTGCTTCCACGAACTTCTAGAACTTGGCCAGCACGCTTAGTCCCATCAGGGAGAGTAAGGTTAACAATCTAGTTTAGGACGATGTCAGTGATGGGATCCCAATGTCCAGTAATATTAAAGTTCATACCTCATTATAACGTGGAAATTTGACGTTATCTTGGCAAAGATCCGGATTAGCAAATTACAACAAAAAGCGAAGAAAGCTTCATGGCTTTTGTTACAAGCGAGGGCTATTATTTCAATAAAGTCACAGAAGTCGTTGATGCAGGAGATTGGGCAACATTACCTAGAATAACCAATGGTCCATTAACACCAGCAACAGTGTTGTAATTGATCCTCGGGTTTACCTAAACAACTTATCAACCCAAAGGCCCAACAAAACCCCGGAAGTGGATAAACCCACCCCATAGTTCCTTGTTACAGCAGCTGCGTTGATAGCGAAAGCCTGCACAATTAGATCCAAATACCGACTCCGACCAGCGAGACGGGGGGCAAACCTCTTGGGCAGATATTCTAGGATCGTCAACACCGGGAGCCATTCTCCGGGAATCTTGTGTTCGGGTCGTAGGAGTTCGGAATGGGTGAGAGGGGACAAGCTGAGGGGCACGAAGATGTGATGACGAGTTGAGTTCTAGCGGCCCAAGACGCAAGTCCGAGCAATGAGACCCCCGCGGTTATCACGTGAGGGTTCTTGTGGCTTGTACTGACTAAGCGAGTGCAACCTTGAAAGCCACAATTGGAACTAACCGATCAGGCCCACCACACTGTTAGCACCCTCCTATCACCCTTCTTATGACTGTATCATACCAGTATCATACCCAAGTACCAGATCATACTCGAAGTATGGTTCCGGAAGCCTAGTTTCTACACCAGTTTTACAACCAAAAGTGTGACAATTTTGACTGCGACGGCAACTGTAATACCTAAATTTGTTATCTTGCCTCAGAAGTTACAAAAGCCCTAACACCTAGAGGCATGATTGTATATTAATAATATAATATCTTAATACATACAGTCGGGGAATATTATTATAAGCTGATATCATTTTTTTGCATGACTGATAGTAATCTATGATACATGAACTTCAGACTCGGCTATTCAATGATGTGAAGAGTATTATGTATATACATGCCTCTTGAAATCTTCTGAACCATACACTATATCATGTTGATATGCATCCATTATCCTGAGTGTCCACTGGTAATATTTCCAGATGAGCACATCAGGAACCTGGACAAGTGCCTCAGGTACTGTTCTCACTAAAGACCGAAATGTGTATTCACAATGTACTTGTGTATATACTTTAGCCTGACCCTAAAACTACTCAATAATATTTAACTTGAAGTGGAATGTAGGATATAATATGACTTAATAGCCAATTGCCTCCAGAGTTTCCTGCAATTTATACTTCTGTACCTGGAAGTCTGGTTGTAGTGGGAGTGGTCTACATACACAACAGTTCAAATTACTACCATTCTTGCAAGCTGGATTGAGTTTTTTCTCTCCTGGCTTATCTTTTGCAATGTAGTACTATGTAAGAAATTTCTGACCTTCCGACCACAACCCATGTTCTTATTAAACAGTTCATAGTCCCTTCAATCGACCATCAAGTAACATCATAGACTGCTGGTGGACAGTTGTTGGATTGCTAACATGTCTAAAGTATCCATTCCACAATAATGCGGTATTTTTACCTCCAGGATTAAGGTTCACATCTCCTGCCTAGAGGGTATCTGTAACATGTTTGCAAGGTGCTAATCATGTTATCGGTTGAAGGTATGATAATTGGCAGGTGGCTTGTTCTACTAGAGAGGAGGGGAGAGCTGAGAACTAAAGAAGGCTTCAAGGTAGACTGAGGAACAAAGTAGTAACTGTTTAATCAATTTTATTGAAATACTGTCTGTGTAATGATCCCTCCTCAGATAGTTAGTTCTTGGCGATGGAGAACGATACTTCTCTTCTTTTCCTGTTTCTTTCCTTAGTCCTACGATAGCACTAGGCCTCTGCCTACATTATCGATAGTACAAGACCATTGTCTTCTATCAGGAACACCTATCGTAAGCTTTCTCTAACTCTTCTTCGTGAAGAGCTTTTCTTGGTGTAACGATAAAGGTTACAATAAAGATAAAGATCATAATGGTGTTTTATATTCGTTAAAGTAATAAGTAGGAAAAGTAATTAGAACAAAGCATGAAGAACCTATCCTCCTCAGCTATACTGGCCTCCTTATATATTGTTCTTCCCGCCCGTAGTCACGTGACCTAAAGTGGTCACATGTGTGAAATCAAATCATAACAAACTAGTCATATGACCGAATTGGTCACATGCTCAAAACCCATGACCTCGTAGTAAGGTCATGTATGAAAACTCATAAACCAATCATAATGTAATAAATAAGTCATATGACTCGAATGAGTCACATGGGCAAAACCCATGACCTCATAATGAGGTCATGTACTAAATATAAATCATATGTGTAAGGCATATCTGCAAGGCACACTTGCAAGGCATATTCACCAGGCACATTTCCCATGACTCATATTTGAGTCATGTGTGAAACTTATCAACCCATAACATCATATGACCCAAATGTATCATATGCGTAAAACCATAACATACCTATGACTTATAATTATGCATTGTGTGAAAAACCTTTTCCTTGCCAAGATACATTCGTGATAGTTTGTCAAAGTCTGCCTTTTCCATTGTGGAAACAGACTGTCTTTAAATATACAAATTAGTTTATGTCTAGCATGAATGAAACTAATTAAAGGTATTAAGTAATACACTTTAGTAAAAGTATTTAAGTATTAAAACAATACTTAAAATAAAACATAAAATAAAACCAAGTATCAAACGATACTTTAAACAAACTAAGTATTAAAGCAATACTTAAAACAAGATCCTTAATGGAGTAGAGTCATGTCCGTTTAATAATTATACCACTGCCGGTAATCACACAACACCATCACCTCCTCATGCCACTGGCAACTATGGCTCCTCCTTACTCTACCTGAGCAAAAGATAATTGGAATAAAGAAACTTTTGCCTTGTATAAGCATGCAGATATGAGATATAATAAAATAGCAAAGACTACTATTCAAAAGGTAGTCACTAGAGCCAAGATAAGAGATAGAGATACTCATTATACTTTCAAGCAAGGCCAATCCACCAAGATTACCAATACTAAAAGAAGAGCAGTAGAGGTTATTATCAATGCCGAGCCTTATTTAGTGCTATGTGAAATTACCCAAAAAACAAATATTGGTCTTGGCAAGACTACTATTGACCAGGTCATTTCAGAAGCTAGTTTTAAGCTTCTGATACCAAGGAGAAAGCCTTTTTGGAGGAAAAAACAGAAGGAGAAGAGAAAGGAGTTTGCTAAGAGAAGGAGGAACTGGAGAGGGGTATAGAATTGGGTGGTTTTTGTTGATGGAGCCATTATTATCTATAATCCAAATCTTGTTAGGAGAAAGGTCAGGATAAGAGCTGGTGAAGAGCTGGAAGAAAAAAACTTGAAGCCTAGCTTTAAGTCATGAAGGACTAGCATTGATGTCTATGCTACAATAATGAAGGGTAGGAGGACTGAGTTAATTCTTGTGAGAAAGAGGAGAGAGGAGGAAAAAACTAGTAAAAGAGACAGACTTAGCCTCAATTCCTACCAATATGTAACTGAGATCCGCCAGCTATACCTTACCCCTTTTATAGAAGGTTTAGATAAACCTTCTGACAATATCTACTAAGTTGCAGACAATGCTTCCTGGCATGGTGGTGAGGAATATCAAAAATTACAGGCAGACTATGGTTACAAAAAACTGTCTTGGCTACCCAACTCTCCAGATTTCAATCCTATTGAGAACACCTAGGCACTACTCAAAAGAGCCCTCAGAAAGCGATTCTCCAGATTGGAAAGAAGATTTCATAGTGCTGCTGAATTATTTCAGGCAGCAAAGGAGGAGTGGGATTTGATTTCCCAAGAGATATTAGATGCTTAAATAGGAAGAATGCCTGAGAGAATTCAGGCTGTTTTGGATGCAGATGGAGGTTATACAAAATAGTAATTGGATTTCTTTAAAGCTTAGGTCATGTACTTTCACCTATTCCTTAATGGCTTTGTATCTTGATATTTTGTATGGTTGAATTCATTAAGTGTTGTGGTTGTAGTTATTGGGCTGGGATATAATTATTAAACAAACCTGACTGTACCTATGCCAGTTACATTATTCTGGTAGGCCTTCACAATAGGTCTCTCATGACCACCATAGTATTTGTCACAATCAAGATTGTGACAAGGCAGATTGATGAGATGCGATAAAGGTTTTCACATGACTTGCACTTGCGAGTCATAGATGCTTATTGTTATGCGATGACTCATAGTTGTGAGTTATATGATGTTATGACTTTCATGCTTGACTCATACTTATGAGTCACAACTCTCACACATGTGTTGCACTTAGCATACATGACATCCTATAAGAATTATGATTGGTTTTGGTATGTTGTGCTGTTGATTTATATGAGTCAGCTGAGGATCTCACATGACTCACAATTGTGAGTAATAGGATATGATGATATGAAGGTATGAGTCACATAGGGTTAGGGTTGGGTGAGGTATTTGCATAAATAGTAAGGTTTAGAGACCAGTTAGGAACACGCTCCGTCGCTCCTATTTTCCTCCCACATAGTTTGGCAATACCACGTCAGCTATCGTGGGCCCTCCCCACTCCCCTCTGTCCCCTTGATGGTTCCTACCTAGGGGCATGGTTAACTCTTTCATCCTCTCCCGTTTTGGCCTCGCTTGTCTCTTGTCTGCTTGATGGGGGAGCTATTTGGGCTTGCCCAGTAGTATTGTCTTACTAATAGGGGCTCGCTTAGCTTTGGCACGGTTGGCTTCCTCTCTTCGCTTCCGGATAGCGCTGGCAGTGGTGGATGTCCTTCTCCCCCTTGTACAATCTCCGTTGGGGAACACCTCGGCTAGTAACTTCGGGGTCTATCTTGTGATGAGATTTGACCATACCCTCCTAGTCGCACGGTTCAAGTTTTTAGATTGCCTTCCTCACCTCGCCCTTTCACCTCCCTACTGCTGGTGGGATCCCTTCTACTAAGTGACGCTATCTCTCGGAGAACAAGGGACTACATGAGAGATATGGTAATACGGCAGTTCAGTCTATGGTTGGGTTTGTACAGGGGCGTTTGGCCCTACCTCGACTTTTCACTTCGGCCACGTCAGCTTGCACCCTACTGCCTTCTCTTCTTGGCTGGTACCCTACTACCTCCTCACTCCACCGCATGGTGTTCTTGGGTTTCGGCCTGCTGTCTGCTTGTGGTCGATCTTTAGCTGGCATCCTACTACTGGGCGGCACCCCCTCTGCCATACATCCACTCCTTGGGCCTGGCACTATGGCCTCTGTTCTCGATTGGCGGGCCATGGTATTGTACTACTTCTGTGGCTTAGCTGGTTGGGGGCGCTCAGCCTTGGGGCTCCTCGCCAGCCGCCCACTATGGGGGTGGTTCTTTAAAAAATGGCAAATCTTGTGGTACAGTGGGCAGTTGTTGATTTCCTTTGTGACCCTTACGAGTCTAGTAGTTTACAGGATAGAGTTTTTCCTTATACTT